CACACAGTTCAGTGGTACTGCATTCACCTTGTTCTGCAACCATTATCCATCCCCATAACTCTTCATCTTATAAAACTGAAACTACCTGTTAAACAAGAACTCTCCACCCACCCCTTCTCCTGGCCCCTCAAAACCATCATTACAATTTGTTTTTATGATTTTGACTATCTCAGAAGTGGAATCCTGCAGTATCTTTTTGTCACTTAATGTACACAAGTTTCATAGATGATATAGCGTATTGCAGAATTTCCTCCTTAGAGGCTAATACTTCATTGTATATATATCCCATATTTTGCTTATTCGTTCATCTGTTGCTAGACATGGGTTGCTTCCACATTTTACCTGTTAGTAATGCTTGCTATGAACATGGATGTACAAATACATCTTTGAGATCCTGCTTTCAGATCTTTTGGACATACACCCTGAAGTTGTATTGCTGGATCATATGGTAATGTTATTCTAAAATTTTTGAGGAACCGCCATACTGTGTTCCACAGCAGCTATACCATATTACACTTCCACCAACTGCAGAAAGTTTCCAGTTTCTCTACATTCTCACCAAAACTTGTTAACTTTTCCTTACTTGATAGTAGCTATCCTAATAGGTGTGAAGTGGTATCAACTTTTCTAGAAAAAGATCATGCCAATTACTGCCTTGTGTATCAGTGTTCAGGACCATGCTGGCACATAGCAGACATTCAAAATTTGTTGCATGATGCTTTTGTATCCTCACCTGAATTGTAAATATTCAGAGCAGGAACCATTGCTTACCCCCACAGTACTAGGTCCTTACTAAATATTAAGTAATGCTGGGGTACATACTCTTCCCAGCTTCCACATGATACAAATGAACATAGGGACGAGACCATTACCCAAACTGCTATAGAAGCATATAAGGTAGTTTTATTTGAGGTATGATCTTTTTTTCCTGTTTATAACTGCAATTGAGAATTTGGACTATAAAAAAATATACAAAAGACAAATCTTTCAAAATCTGAGATACAGGGGCGCCTGGGTGGCTCTGTGGGTTAAGCCTTAGCCTTCAGCTCAGGTCATGATCTCAGGGTCATGGGATTGAGCCCCACATCAGGCTCTTTGCTCAGCAGGGAGCCTGCTTCCTCCTGTCTCTGCCTGCCTCTCTGCCTACTTGAGATCTCTGTCAAATAAAATCTTTAAAAAAAATCTGAGATACTGTTTATTCTATTTTGAAATGTAGTTCCTGCTATTATAATGCTATTCAATCATATTTGCATTTATTTTTACATAATTTTAGAAGATTATATGTGCTATTTTGTAGCCTTTTTTATTTTTTAAAGATTTTTTTTGAGAGAGAGTGGGGAGGGTCAGAGGGAGAGAATCTTCAGGCAAACTCTGCTGAGCATACAGCCTGATGTGGGGCTGTGTCGCAATCCAAAATGGATCTCACAACCCATGAGATCATGATCCCAGCAAAAACCCAAGAGTTGGATGCTCAACTGACTGAGCCACCCAGGTGTTCCTTGCAGCTTAGGAAAAAAACCAAAAACCTATCAAGGGATATACATTTTTTTAAAGATCTTTTATTTACTTACTTGACAGACAGAGATCACAAGTAGGCAGAGAGGCAGGCAGAGAGAGAGGAAGGGAAGCAGGCTCCCTGCTGAGCAGAGAGCCTGATGTGGAGCTCGAACCCAGGACCCTGGGATCACGACCTGAGCCGAAGGCAGAGGCTTTAACCCACTGAGCCACCCAGGTGCCCGGGATATACTTTTTTTTTTAAAGATTTTATTTATTTGAGAGCGCATGAACTGAGGAGGAAGAGAAGAAGAAAAAGCAGACTCCCCACTGAGCAGGGAGCCCTATGTGGGACTGGATCCCAAGGGCCCTGGAATCATGACCTGAGCCACCCAGGCAACCGGGATATATATATATCTTTTTAATAACTAATGTTTTATTCTGTTACACCATGATTAATCTGACCAATTCTGTATTGATAGGCTATTTGTTTTGGGTTTGGTTTTTTTTTTTTAAGATTAAAAATAACGTCCCAGCTATTTGTTTCTATGAAAGCCTTACACGTCCCTACATCAAATTCCTATACATGGAGTGCTGGAGCCGGAAGATCTGCCCATTTTACATTTTGATAAAAAGTCTGCAGGAGGGGCGCCTGGGTTGCTCAGTGGGTTAAGCCTCTTCCTTTGGCTCAGGTCATGATCTCAGGGTCCTGGAATCAAGCCCCGCATCGGGCTCTCTGGTCAGCCGGAAGCCTGCTTCCCCCCCTCTCTCTGCCTGCCTCTCTGCCTACTTGTGATCTCTGTCTGTCAAATAAATAAATAAAATATTTAAAAAAAAAAAAAGTCTGCAGGAATGGGGTACCTGCCTGGCTCAGTTGGTAGAGCATGGGACTCCTAATCTTAGGATCCTGAGTTCAAGGCCCACATTGGGCAAGGATCCTACTTAAAAGATTAAAAAGTCTGCAAGAAGTTGGTACTTTAGACTGGAAGCTTATTCACAACCATCCTGGGCCTTCAATACTAACCTCTCTCTTCTGATTCCTACTTCAACTTCCATCTCAAGTTAGGATTCATTTTGCTAACTGAACCAAACAAGGATTTTTGGAGTGTCTTTAAGCTGGATCTCTAATGGTCTTATTGAAGTGTTTGTCCTCTGCTCTAACAGCACTTTCCGTTCACAGACCATCACCATCACCACTGTCCAGATATAGCATGAACATTATGAACTCCCATTTTGCAAATGAGCAGAGGGTTCTTGGAAGGAAGGATAGCCAGAGGATACCAAGGAAGTACTCTGGGGCCCATCAAGCTTTCTCAACCACAATGGTGAACTCTGTGAGCTGGGAATGGCATTTGAACTATATACCAATTTTTTTTCCTTTAAGTTCTGTTCCTTAGGTGGAGCTCGAACTCACAACCCTAAGACCAGGAGTTGCATGTTCTACCAATTGAGCCCTTCAGGCATCATAGAAATTGGGATCTTAACCCCTTTGAGAAAATCAATGCAAGCCTTTGAATGGTTCAGATGAAAAAAACCAGGGGCGCTCCTGGGTTGCTCAGTTAAGTGTCTGTCTGCCTTTGGCTCAGGTCATGATCCCAAGGTCCTGGGCTCGAGCCCCGCATTTGGCTTTCTGCTCAGCAGGGAGTCTGCTTCTCCCTCTGCCCCTGCTCCTGCTCTCTCTCACATACTCTAACAAATAAATAAAATCTTTAAAAAAATACAAAAACAAAACAAAACAGGAATGGGGCGCCTGGGTGGCTCTGTCAGTTGGGCATCTGACTCTTGGTTTTGGCTCAGGTCCTGATCTCATGGGTCATGGGATCAACTCTGAGTTGGGCTCCACACTCAGTAGGGAATCTGCTTGATGATTCTCTTCCTCTGCCCTTACCCCGCACATGTGCATGCTCTCTAATAAATAAGTCTCAAAAACAAACACCAGAATTTATCAAAGATTTTTTTCAATGTAATCAAGTAGTTTCCTAAGTTACAAATTCTACTCTTTTCATGATTAGTTTCTGGGTCAACTACAGATAATATGAACACCCATTTTGATTTTATTTTCCTCCCTCCTCCTGTTTATGCCTTTTCCAGCCTCAGGTTGATAGTTAATCTTTCAGGTTACTTGGATGAATCATACTCTGCAGACCTGTAAAACAGCACCATCTCCTTCCTCCCAGAGCTTTTGCTCAGCAAGCAACAAAGCCAAACCCTTCCTCCCAGTTTAGGCTACAGATCTGAAAATGTGGCCAAAGAGGTTCACTCAGGGGATATGGCAGAACAAATGTGTTCTCACTTCTTTGGGCCTTTGGAAAACCGAACTAAAGCAGATTTTTTTTTTTTTTTAAGCAGACTTTCAATGAATGAAATGGATCTAAAGATGAGTAGCCCTCTTCTGGATTCCTTCCCATAGAGAGAACCACTTTCCTTAGTTTTAGTAGATACTAAAAGCATGTTTGTTGTTTTTTTTAAGTAAGCTCTACATCCAGTGTGGGGCTTGAACTCACAACCCCAGGATCAAGAGTTGCAAGCTCTACCAATTGACCCAGCCAAGTGCCCCTTATGTGCTTTTTAATATTCAATTTTACCAGAGTAAAAAGATAAATCTCACTCCCTCATTTTCCTTCCCCAAAGGCAAGAAATGACTTTTTGTGTTTCCTCTTTCAAATATAGTGTATGTATACTCAAACATCCAAATCTTCTTACACATAGTATGCACCATACTTTGATTATTATCAGTAAAATACATATATTGAGTCTTGCCAATGATGACTGCAAGGATTAAAGTAATGTATGGGGGGCAATGCATTCAGGATCATGAACTAGGAAGCTCTTGGACCCTGCAGTCCCACCTTTCTATACTATCTCTGGACAGGATATTTCTTTCCTTACCCACAAAGAAGCTTCCATAGGCTGCCTGGGAACCAAATATTCATAATTTGTGACTGTGTGTACAGATCTAGCTTCAGAAAATGTGTGTCTGAACGTGTCTGAATGCAGGTAGCGTATAGATCGTATCCTGTGAATGTCTTATTGTTTCCCTATTATGTGTCTGTGTCAGGGTCTCTGGATGTAACTGGGTGCGTGTCACTGTTAGTTTGACACTATATACCATGTTTGGGGGTGTGTGTGTGTGTGTGTGTGTGTGTGTAAATGCGCGGTCCTTATCCAGACGTTCCTGTTTGGTGTTAAGGTATTTTAGATACCGTTGCAATCCGTATTCTTCAACCCCCAGCTCCCTCACTCACTACATGCCAATATTCTTGAAGGATGGGCGGGTGTCGGGGCACAAGCTCGCCCAACACCAGTCTCCCACAGAGAACGCAGCAGGACTTCCAGTATACCCGGCATCCGCCAGTCATGCAGGAGAAGCCGTTGCGCACGCACAGCGTGCAGCCTGGGATACGAAGAAAACCTTGGGGTCGCGCGTTCTCTCGCGCGCTCTCTAGTGGCCCCAGAGGGCAGCGCTGCCAGAACGAGGGGGCGGAGCCGACGACGGCGGACGTGAAGTCACTTCCGGGCTGGGGTGTTTGTTTGGACTGGAGAAGGGAGGCGGCGGGCGAAGCGCGCGTCGAGCGGGGGAGCGGCGCTGCCTGTGGAGATCCGCGGAGGCCGACCGGATTCGTTGGCTGCCGTCCCCGCTGCCGTGCACTGGGTGAGGGGTTCCCTCGGGCAGAGCGGCCAGAAGGGTGCGGCGACCCCAGCGGTCGAGGGACAGCACCTCGGCAACGGTTGAGGGTCCTGGAGGGTCCCCCGGGTTGTTGGCCACCAAGCCTCATATGGCTTCCTTTATTCCTTGCACCTTTAGTCGCGTCGAGGGATGAGCTGGGACCGACTTAGACTCTTTCTTTTTTTGAGAAATGGCCGTCGCTTTTTTTCTCATTGTCATTATTATTTATGATTTGGATCTCGCAGCACTCTATCCGGGTCTTCGGTGGCGCGCGAGGGTTGCCGGGATAGCACTTTCTCGTGCCCCCCCCCCCCTTTCTTCACCTCCTCCCTGGTACCCTTTTCCCCTGCCCCCCACTGCCGCTTCGGCAACAAAGCTCATTGTTTCTCCCCAGTTTACGCCTGCGCGTCGCCACGCGCAGCTCCTAGTTGCTGCGCTTGCGCGCTGCTCCCGAAGCTTGGGTGGGGGAAGAGAAAGGGGCAGAGGGACTGGCGGGCTGGCGAGCGTCCTAGGGGAGCATTATGCGACCGTCCACGGGCCAGTACCTTTCTCATCGATTTTCTTCCGTTTCTTCACCTTCACTTACTCCTTATTTTAGTTATATTGTTTCCTATGCTCAGGATAGGGGGGGCCGGACTCCTGCTCCGGGAGGGTTGTGAGCCAGATAACTTTAAGGGCCCATCCAGTTCGTATTCTTGGATTCTGCTTCTCTTAATTTCCCTTCCACTATGTGCTTACTCCCCACTACCCCCAAAATTACGTGGCTTGTGGTGAACTTTGTTTTTTCAAAATATTTGTTGAAGCAGCCAACAGTTTGATTTTCTGGTGACTCAGAAAGGGACCTTTTCTGCTTCTTTTGTTGTCTTGCTTTCCCTAATTTTGCAGCCCCATCACCTCACCGAAACCTCAAACTCTAGAAGAAATTTGGCTTCTAATTTGCCGTGGGAAAAAAGTTTTAACAGCTGACAGCTTTTGACATTTATTTCAACAGAAGACAAATTGCCGTTTTCGTGTGCTGGCTAATATTGTAGTCTCGTGGCATAATTTTTCACAAATTGCAGTTGAGCGGGTGTTGGTCTGCATTTTCTTCAAAATAGCCTTTGAAATTTCAACGGCTGCAGGTTCTGTTTGGAAATAAGAAAAGGGTCTATGGATTTTTAAAAAAATTTATTTTATTTATTTATTTGAAAGAGAGACAGTGAGAGAAAGCATGAGCGAGAAGAAGGTCAGAGGGAGAAGCAGACTCCCGTGGAGCTGGGAGCCCGATGTGGGACTGGATCCCGGGACTCCAGGATCATGACCCGAGCGGAAGGCAGTCACCCAATCAACTGAGCCACCCAGGCGCCCCTGGATTTTTTTTTTTTTTTAAGATTTTATTTATTTATTTAATAGATAGAGATCACAAGTAGGCAGAGAGGCAGGCAGAGAGAGAGAGAGAGAGAGAGAGAGGAGGAAGCAGGCTCCCTGCTGAGCAGAGAGCTCGATGTGGGGCTCCATCCCAGGACCCCGGGGTCATGACCCAAGCCGAAGGCAGAGGCTTTAACCCACTGAGACACCCAGGCGCCCTTGGGTCTATGGATTTTTAATGTGATTCCTGGTGTTGGTTTGTACTTCTGATTCCAGTATGTGAAAGGATATTTGGAGCAAATTAGCTTGTTTATGCTACTTGTTAATTGTGAATTTGTACAAAACTTAATCTTTTCTCACGAAAAAGTGTCTACAACAAATAAAGATAGGTGACTTTCCAAAAATGACAGCCTATTTATCTCTTTCTTTAAGGGATGGGTGTTAGGCAATGGAAACTCCCTGTGATGGTTAAAGGCTTGAGAGCTGGGAGGATTTTATTATAATATATTGCATGTTGCTGTTAAGGAGCTCCAATTGAGGTAGATGATCTCTAACTTCTTTTTTTTTTTTTTTAAGATTTTATTTATATATTTGACAGAGAGATCACAAGTAGGCAGAGGCAGGCAGAGAGAGAGGGGAAGCAGGCTCCCTGCTGAGCATGAGCCCGATGTGGGGCTCGATCCCAGGACCTTGAGATCATGACCTGAGCCGAAGGCAGAGGCTTAACCCACTGAGCCACCCAGGTGCCCCCTGATCTCTAACTTCTTAAGAACAGAGTAAGTTTATAGTAGGCTTTACCTTAAGTAAGCACGGTACACCTTACTCAGGTTTACCCCTTTATAACTCTAGAGAGTAATGCTCCAGTTTCAGTAGAAAATATAAACATAAAAATCTGTTAGCATAGCAATTTCATGGACATCGTGAGCATTGGAAGAAAGTAGAAAATAAGGACTGAGCCTCCTTCCTTTTGTGCTCTTACGTGTTCTTGTAATTTACAACCTTATTCATTATAACCTATGGAATAGGCAGAGGAAGTTTTATCTTGCCCATTTTGAAATTGAGGAAATAGAGTTTGAAAGATTATTTTATTAGGCACATATTTCTTTTTTTTTTTTTTTTAAAGATTTATTTATTTATTTATTTGACAGAGATCACAAGTAGGCAGAGAAGCAGGCAGAGAGAGAGAGAGGAGGAAGCAGGATCCCTGCTGAGCAGAGATCCTGATGCGGGGCTTGATCCCAGGACGCTGAGATCATGCCCTGAGCCGAAGGCAGAGGCTTTAACCCACTGAGCCACCCAGGCGCCCCTAGGCACATATTTCTATAGCACTTAGTAATGCCAGTCATTGTTCTAAGTGCTTTTACAGGTATTTAATCTTCACCTTCTTTCGGTGGTAAGTACTATTGTAAAATAGAGATAACAGCTAATAGGTGTGAATTAACTTGTCCACTGTTAACACAGCTGGTAAGAACTGGAATTCAGACCCAAGTAGTCTAGAGATTATGTGCTCTTAACCATTTTACTGTGCTGCTTGTGGTTTAGTGACCTACTCAGGATCCTCTAGGTGGTTTGTGGCGTATCATAGATTCGGACCCAGTCCAAGACAAAAGTTATCCAAGTGATCCCTTTGCGATCCGGACCACCCTGTTGAATTAGTAATTTGCATTTAATATAGCCTGAGGTTCAGTTATAGTAACAGTCATTTTTCCTTTTTTTCATTCTAAATTTCCTTAATGTTTAGAGCAGTGTTGTCCCAGTTAGATAACTGCTAATGGCACATATGTCCATTGAGCGCTTGAAATGTGGCAGTTGCAACTAAAGAACTAAATTTTTTATTTTACTCAATTCTAATTGGTTTAGATTTAAGTAGCCATATGTAGCTATTGGCCACATATTGAATAGTGCGGGTTCAGAGGTTTGAATTGCTTCTGCTTTTTTTTTTTTAAACTTTTATTTTTGTGTTTTTACATTTATTGATTCTTTGTAATTTTTGGGGGGGTTGACTTTTTTTTTTGAGAGAGTAGGGGGTGGAGGGTATCAGTCAAGAGGAGGGGCAAAGGGAAGGGGAAAGAGAATTTTTTTTTTTAAGATTTTATTTATTCGTTTGAGAGAAAGAGAGAACAAGCAGAGGAGAAGCAGACTCCGCTGAGTAGGGACCCCAACTCGGGGCTTGATTCCAGGACTCGGAGATCATGACCTGAGCAGAAGGCAGACACTTAACCATCTGAGCCATCCAGGTGCCTTGGGAAAGGAGTATCTTAAGCAGGATCCACACCCAACTGCAGAGCCCAGGTAGGGCTGGCTCTCATGACCCTGAGATCATGACTTGAGCCAAAATCAAAGAGTCAGATGCTTAACCAACTGAGCTATCCAGCCCCATCTGCTTATATTTTATATCAGTTTTTATAAATAAGGATAGTATTTCTGATGTGCTTTGAACTTTTTTTTTTTTTTTAAGATTTTATTTATTTATTTCACAGACAGAGATCACAAGTAGGCAGAGAGGCAGGCAGAAAGAGAGAGAGAGGAGGAAACAGGCTCCCTGCAGAGTAGAAAGCCCGATGTGGGGCTCGATCCCAGGACCCTGGGATCATGACCTGAGCCGAAGGCAGAGGCTTAACCCACTGAGCCACCCAGGCGCCCCTGTGCTTTGAACTTTTATCAGCAGTGATGATAGGCAGTGCTTGAGCCATCCTTACTCTCACCAGATCACCTTCATTACACTAGTTGAGATTAGGATTAAAGTCCTCATTCTGTGTTGTTGTTTCACTTCTACAGGTTTTTTAACATGTGATTTTTTTTTTTTTTACCTTATACCTTGCTCCAGCAACCTTTAATTGCTCTAAATGTTTAATAAGCACCAAAATAGGTAATAGTGTCGTGTGCCAGGCTCTGTACCTAGATACTATTATTATTTTCCACTTGATAGGGAATCTGAGACAGAGAGGGGTTAAAACTTGCCTTCGGGTTCCAGAGCCCCTGCTTTTAATCATTAATGTATACTGCCAAACATTAAAACAGAAAATTCAGTACTGCTTACAAATTTAAATGGAAAACAAGCTTAAGCAGAAGTTTCTTTATCCTCTCTAACTTCTGGAGAGACAATTATGATAATGTGTATGCAAATAATGTTAAGGAATAACAGTAGTTCAAAATAGAGTACATGGGATAAGAAAAGGTGTGGAATCAGGTTAAGGAAAAAGAACTGTATTTGAATTTTTTTTTTTTAAGATTTTATTTATTTGAGAGAGTGAGAGAGAACGAGCAGGAGGAGGGGCAGAGGGAGAGGGACAAGCAGACTCCCTGCTGAGTGTTGAGCCTGAATCAGGGCTTGATCCCAGGACCCTGAGATCATGACCTGAGCCAAAACTAAGAGTTGGGCCCTTAACTGACTGAACCACCCAGGCGCACCCCTCTGTTTGAATTTTAATGAAAATTCTTAAGAGATGAAACTGAGAAAGTTTCTAAAACTTCATGATTAAAAAAAAAATGATATCCATATTTTAAAATTTTATAGAAACCATTATGTGGAAGAGGCATTTTGGAAGAAAAGAAAGCTGAATATGTGAGCTTGTGGATTGAAAGCGCTAGACAGCATTAATAGGAAAAAAAAACTGCTCTCACCTAATAGAATCTGA